AAAATGTCGGTAAATGAAGTCACCAGTAATATACGATCATAATGCTCTCCTGGCATAAAATACGGCTACTATTATGCCTAAAATAACCGATGAGTCAGCTTTTGGCTCGTTGACGGAAAAACGCATACTTGGGTTCGTGGTCGGTCTTCTGAATTAGCCTCGAGCAAGCAGGGTTAAAATCTATGCTGTTGTGACAAAACCCCTTAAAATTATTTCAGTATGACGTTAGAAAAGTATGCAGCTTATTCCACCACAGGGAGACTCATCGATTGCGGTCTATTTTTATTGTTCCATGCATCTGCAGGCTGAACTCTGAAGAGAGTTCTTATAGCCTTCACTGTCAACCCTATGTGAATAAAATAGCCCGACATTTTACACTCGAGCTAATCCTGCAGAAACTTGCTGTTCATTCACTACATTTCAGAAAACTTGTTTTTTATTTTTAACGACATGACAATAATGTGCTGCATATTCAAAGTGTCATATAATGTAACACCGAGATTGATGCTAGTTAGTTGCTGTCGAGGTCCAAGTAAACGTGCAACCAAAGGAAACTCCCACGGTCAGGTTACGGAATATATTCTCTTTAGAACTCCGTCTAAACCCTTTTTCGGAAATCGCATAGCAAGTGCTTGTAAGGTAGAAAATGAGTAACAACAAGGACAAGGGAGATTGTGGTGATGATTCCTGACTTATTTGCATCGTCAGTCACCAATATCCAACCCCAGGTTTGAGCACCCTGTAATTCGGACTCGAACGTTTCGGTCACTGGGGTGACGTCCAAAGTTTTAACACCGAGCTACGGGTTCACCGTTTTGCCTGCTACGGTCAAAGCTATTAACTGTAGTGTGAAGTGTCCGCGATCAGGTTACATCTACCATCGCTCTCTCACAGGTACCAGCCCCCAGATAGGTGCCACAAGAGTTTTCCAGTTGGAATGTTCATTACAAATGAATGGCAAAGACCGCTGCGACGGGATTTTCCTGGCTATGGGGCAGTGACCTTAATCGAGCTGCGGAAATTGGTCTGGTTCATACGGAAGAACTCCGCGTTGATTCTGCCGCTTCCACTGCATAAGACTGACTTGGCAGAAGTTCGCGTACATTTCGGCTTAGTGCATCGTCGGCAACCCTCCTTCAATTACATTTAACTACACCCTTCTTCCGTGGTCTCTTCATTCTCAATCCCGTCAGAGTTGAAAGACCCTAATGGATGACCGCTGTTGTTCTGATTATCTGCTGGGTCGTTATCTCGTTGTACAGTGGTATAAACCTGATTATAAGTCATTGAAAATGCACTTGTATTGTTAGCTAGGTTTATTTAACGTACAGATCGTAAAAAAAATTTCGAGATCGATGCGCCTTTCAGCTGTAAATTGTAATTATGTGCTGATAGCTGTGGCCGATGTTGATATTTTCTTAAGATTTGAACAACCAAGTACAAAACGCTCTTTTGTAGGCGACAATAAGACGTATTTTAGGGTCGTATAAAAGAGAGTTTGAATTATCTAGACTAAGAATGCTTGGAAAGGAAGTTGCTCAAAAGTTCTGCAAGCAATAAAGTTATAATAAATACACTAAAGTAATAGACCATTATATTGAATACGCAGGTCAGTAATCCATTTTATTCAGTTTCGGGTAGAAGCAATGTGCGTATGCCGGTCGTCACGTCATATTTTACGATGACATCTTTCTTTCGGTTTAATCTTTCGCTGGACCTCAGACAGAATTTCAGAGTTTGGGAAGCGAACCGAGTGTGCATTAATGTATGCATGTAGGAATATGTATGACTCAATGGACTTCACCTGCCTCACTTTCCTCAGCGGTTCTCAGTTTTTTTAGGCAGCATGTTCCGCGCTTATTTTCCTTTAAGTTCAAGTGAAGAAAAATGTGATGGGTTTTGCGTACAGTGAAGTGCAAAAATGCGAGATTGTAGATGGAGTGGTTTCCAGTTTGCATGCCAAATTCATGCTTTTGGAATACATTAATTTTAACATATCAAAACATCTGGACTGCATTCCGGCATCGAATTTCTTCTAATGAAGGTGCCAAAAGCTATAAGCCTAACCGTACTTTTGCCTTTGACAACCATACACCTTATTTGTGACTAGAAGTCGAAAAAGTTGATTAACATCACTTATCATGATTATAATTAACAATGCAAAACATTATCGGTTTAGGAGGTCTCGGCTGCAAATTTCATTTGTGATTGTAAAATACCGCACAGTGCTCCAAAGTATAGACCTTGTAAGGTATAAATTCGTAACACTCTTAAATGCTACCCTTTATTTTCTACCACGTATTTGATCTCTACAACGATTTTGGCAAGACCTTATTTCTTAGCCGTACATGTCATGTGTTAGGGTTATGAGTTTGGGGTTGGGGTTAAGGGTTAGGCTGGGGCCTGCCTACTGAAGGTACGGCTACGAAATAAGATCCGACAACGCATTTGACTCACGAATACAGCTTGATTTTGCAGGCTGAGGATTAAGTGCCCATTTTGCTTGGTTTATCCCGAAATATAAGTCAAATCTGACAAGCCCAGATTGGCCAGACTGAACTAGTGTGACCATCACCGTTCTTAAGATTAGTCTGACATACCAAGTCTGAGGGTCTCGATCTTGGTTGGGGTTTCTTGCACATACTACTTGGTTGCCAGAGTCTTTCACGTGAAACAGATTAATATTATGTGCTCGGCGAGTGAAGCATCCGCCTTTGCCTTCCCTGGTTTCCTGTTTTTGTGCATTGAATGCGTTTTGAGAGAGGCGGATGAGCGGAGACCAGTTCCCCCACGATGGCTGACCCAGACCCTCGAGGGCAGGCACGCAAGTCGTTGGTCGTCTCACCCACTCGCTGGCACGCACTCCTCAGGGGAGTTCAGGAGGCTGATTATGTCGAGTCAAAATATTTCAGTTTTATGCTAGAATATGCCCATGGCAAATATATGAGCTTAGGCAACTCAAATCAAATTATGGAGAATTAACTACCCTTTGGAAAAGAAAAGACATACGACATGTGTTAGGAGTATTTTATCGACCTAAAAAAACCCAGGTCTACTTCGGATACCAGAGTATTGAGAATTAACCCGGAACCTTTAACGCTCCGTGGGCCAAATCACGAGACTCGGAATCGACAGCTCAAATGTCAGTCGGTCCTACTACCCATGCAACTTTGACTGTGACAACGATCAGATTACCGTCGCGCTTCTGCCATTGCATACCTCTTGAGGGTGGTAATTGCATCTCGTCCTCAAGTGGCCAGCGCAATCTGTCATCACACCGCTTAGGAACGTCGTGGTATGTCAGAACCAGAGCACAAGTTAATACCTAACTCGATCCTGATCGTTAACCAGCCTGCGTTCATGTGGAGAGGAAGCGGTTTTTGGAAATAGGCAGACAAGATTACTACCCATCGTGGTCTTTCTCATCAAGAGGACTGTATCCATTTGATGGTAGACTCTTGCGGCCGTACTTCGCCGCTCGATGCTTTCTGACTATAGGAGCTGGGAGGTGCTGACGAGGAGAGATTACAGTGAAGTGTTTTTGGGCGTCTGCTTTATTTGCGGGTGAAGGCCAAGACCGCTGCTCACCTTATCTTTCATCTTAGAATGGCGAGGCAGTAGAAGGCGAACGCAGTGTTTGAATGGGTTCTGTGTGTCCTGTTAATAGGTCTTCAGATCCTGTTAAATTGCTTCATGTGTACAGTATGTGCCAATGTCGCTGGTAGCCCGGTCGCTGGGGTTTTTACATTTAGGTAAAAACAAACAAACCTAGTGTTTCTCAGTCACTTTTGGGAGTTATCGGTACCTTTGTTCATCTGTTAAACGGGTCTAGTGGCTAGGCGATATTTGTGAACGCAGTCTCGATAAACGCATTGTTTAATTCACTAAAATTTTCAAACTCGTGCAAAAGGGAACTATTCTAAGGTAAACACAGCAATGAATGGGCGGTGTTTATGGTCTACTATGAATAAGCGGTCTCAGGTCTCACAAATTCGGATATGATTTCGCTAACTGTGAACTATTGGTCAATGCTCTGGTTGATTGATCTCCACACTCCAAGCACCACGCTCATGGGCAGTATAGCCAAACTGTCACCGGACAGCTATACTCCAGGCTTAATGGCCAAGGCTTAAATTCACGGAGGCTGACCATGGGGTTACGATCACTTTCTTTGAACTTCGGACCTGGTATGCTTCTTTATGCATGTGTAGCCACTAGACAAAGTCCAGCTTCGGGAAGAGACTCTGTATAGCGGCCACCTCGACCGGCAGGCTAAACTAGGTGAGAGTGCTTATGTGTGCATCTCCACACGGTAATTCTGTCCCTTTTTTACTCCTTCTTACCTCCTCTCCGTACTCCTCCTCTGTCCCTCACTCTCTCTACTCTCTACTCCGCCCTACTATACTGTCTTACAGCACGGTCGGAAGTCCTACAGCGAGAGCGACAGCAATCACGTAGGCGGCCCAGGCCGTTGATCGTTCTCTCACTAAACTCCTTTAGCCATAGTGGGGAGTGGTATCCGTCTGGTGCGACAAAGCAACCCTCGTTAGGAAGAGCACTGTTTTCTCTTGCGGGGTGAAGAGGCGACAAAAAGTGTCCTAAACAAAGCTGGGCTCACGACACCTGCGCGCAGACCGTCGCTCACAGACTGCTTAAAATTAAGTCGAAATCAAAACACAGACAAAATACTCTCACCCTTCCTCGTCCTCCTCCCTGCCGCCCCAACCCACAGGCAGCTAGGGTGAGTCCGCTCACTATGGCAACTTGGAATGCTTGTTTTCTTCTAGACAGCCCGAGGAGCAACCGCTCGGGACGAAGGACGGCGCTAGTGGATCGGGAACTGCGCCCTACAGTGTGGACATCGCTGCACTCAGCGAGACCCGCTTCTCCGACAAGGCCAAGTGGAGGAGATTGGTGTCGGCTACACCTTCTTCTGGAGCGGTCGCCCCAAAGCAGAGCGACAAGACGCGGGTGTCGCCTTCGCCATTTGGAACGACATCATGGGACGACTGCCCTGTCAACCGCAGGGAATCAACGATCGCCTAAAGGGCCTCCGTCTGCCTATCCAGGGAAGCGAATTCGCCGCCATCGTCAGTGTCTACGCTTCCCCCGATGACTAGCCCTGACGAGGCAAGGAGCAAATTCCACGAGGATCTGCACGCCTCCTGGTGACTTTGCCGAAGGCGGATAAGTTGAGTGACTTCAACTTCCGCGTCGGCACAGACAATGCTGCCTGGAGAGGAGTGCTCGGTCTCCATGGTCTCGATGGCTTCAATGACAATGGCCTGCTCATTCCACGAACCTGCGAGGAACACCGGCTCATCGTGACCGACACCTACTTCCGCCTCCCGACGCAGAAGAAGGCGATCTGGACTGCGGCGCTGGCAGCTGTTGGACTATCTTCTCGTTCGGTGGTGATATCGACAGGATATGATGGTTACCAAGGTTATCTGCGAGGCCCTTGGCTGGACGGACCACCACTGCCTCATCTCCAGGATGAAGCTTCGTCCGCTGGTCCTCAGGAGGAGGCAAGGTAATCGACCCCCGGGTAAGCTGAATAATGCTTTTTTGTCTTTGTCTGCTCACAATTAGCCTTCCAGCAGTTAACTGACCCAATAGCTAGAAGACCTGTCAGAAGCAGTTGATAACGCCTCCGTGGAGACCCGATGCTGCCGACTACGGGGCGTTGTGCATTCGAACGCCCTAGCTGTCCTCGGCCGTGCACGTCGCCAGCACCAGGACTGGTTTGACGAAAACGGCGCCGCCATCAGTAACCTGCTGACCGGGAAGAGGGGGCCACACGGAGGTTACCTCAACCTCCCGACCGTTGCGAACAAAGCAGCCTTCTATCAAAGTCGCCGCCCAGCGCATCAACGGTTGCGATAAATGCAGAATTCATGGATGGCTTGCAAGGCCGAGGAAACCCAAGCATACGCTGACCCCCTCCCTCCGACTTACAAATTTTTTCGCTGCACTCAAGGCGATCTACGGCACCCAACCAAAGGAAATTCACCGCTTCTCAGCTCCGATAGATCAACGCTTCTGACGGAAAAGTCGCAGATTCTGAAGCTTTGGGTCGAGCACTTCAGAAACGTCCCCAACCGCCCTTTCACAATCTCCAACGTCTCCTTCGACCGGCTCCCCCAAGTGGAAACCAACGTCGATCTACATCTCCCGCCCTCCCACCCAGAAACCATCCGCGCCGTACAACAACTCTCCAGCTGTAAAGCACTAGGCTCCGGTGCAATGGCCAACTGAAGTCTACAGAACGGCGGCCACCGTCTGATGAAGCAACTCACGACGCTATTTCAGGAGATGTGGTGCTGTGGACAAGTTCCTCGAGACTTCAAGGACGAAACTATTGCTCGCCTCTACAAGCGCAAAGACAACTTGCAAGTCTGCGGCAATCACAGAGGCATCTCGTTACTCAACCTGGCCGAGAAGATCTTCGCCCGCATCCTCTTCAATCATTCCAACGGACACCTTTCGAGCAAGGACTCCTGTCGAAAATCTAATGTGGTTTTCAACAAAATCGGGCACCACCAACATGGTCTTTGCCGTTCGCCAACTATAAGAGAAGTGCCAAGCTATGCGAACCCACGTCGAAACTACCTACGTGGACTTGACAAAGGCTTTTGATACGGCAAATTTCAAGGGACTGCGGAAAATCGGGCAGGAATTCGGCTCTTCTGAATTATTCACGCACATGGTACGTCGGCTCCATGATTGGATTATGGCGCGCGTCACGGACAACAGCGCAATCTCCGGGGTATTCGCAGTGACCAAGGGAGTAAGGCAGGGCTGCGTCTTCGCGACTACCCCCTTCAGTCTCATGTTCTCTGCCGTGCTGATGGAGGCCTACCGTGATTGCCCCCCCCCCCCCAGGATAGACATCGCCTGCAGAGCTGACGGTATCTTCTCAACAGCAGGCGTATGCAGGTCTGAATGCGGGTAGGTGCGACCACTGTCCACGATCCCATCTTCGCCGACGACTGCGTGCTAAACAACACAACCGAAGTGGACGTGCAACGAAGCTTTGACCTTTTCGCCGTCGGGTGCGCCAACTTCGACCTGACTATCAACATGGACAAAAGGGTCGTCATGCACCAACCGTCACCCAACACCCAATACTGCAATCTTCCTCGAATTACTGTCGACGACCGCCAACTCAAAACCGTGGACAATTTTGCTAATCTCGGAAGCACACTTTCCGACAGCACGAGAATCGACGACGAGGTTACCCACCTGATATCCAAAACCAGGCAAGCCTTTGCCTGGCTGCAGGACTCCGTGTGGAATCGCCACGGTCTCCAACTGAATATCCAACTGAGGATGTACAAGGCCGTCGTCCTGACGACACTTCTCTACGGATCAGAGACTGGAGCCGTCCACTCCAACCATGCCAAGAAACTCAACCACTTCCATCTAAGCTGCCTTCGTAGAATAATAAAACAGAGATGGCAAGACAGGATCCCCACACGGATGTCCTAAAACGGACCGGCATTTTTAGCATTCAGGACATGTTGAGGCAACTACAGCTAGGTTGGATTGGCCAGCTCGTGAGGATAGATGACACACGACTACCGAAACAACTCTTCTATGGTGATGTTGTCACCGGTGCGCGCCGAGCTGGAGAACCAAAACGATGTTACAAGGACACATTGAAGAATTCTTTTAAGGGATTGCATATCAATCCAGAGACGTGGGATGATCTTGCCCAGAACAGATCGGCCAGGAGAAGAGAAGTGAAGAGCCGTGCAGGCATCCACGAAGCAAGTCTGATAACCGCCGTCAAAGCCAAAGGGGAGACTTGCGAATCACACGTGCCTCGCCTCCTCAGCGCCAACTATCCGCCGCTTTCAACATACCCGTGCTGCCAATGCGCATTCCGCACATGAATCGGTCTCTTTGAACACCTTTGGACCCAATGTGTTATCAACTCGACAACGTCTACCTCTTCTCTCACTCTCATCCCTACTGCAAACTTCGAGTCGACCGCCAACCCTGTCAACGCCAATCACACTGGTAGGGGGCGCTCAGCGATCGTTCTTACGGAACTCACTCGTTCCGTTGTGCCTTACGGGTTATCTCTCGAGCCCAACCAGCAGCCGCACAGCGGCGCATGATATAGGCAGAATGGCACTACCGACAAACACAAGGGAGACAGGAATGGCCATTTCTGGCGTATTAGCCGTCGTCAGCCAGCCATACCCAACCCCGAAGAGTGGAACGCCCGAGGCTCGAACTCGCGGCCTGTTAGTTGGAAGTCCACGCCATTCCAGTCTCCCTTGTCTTTGTCGGTAATGCCATTCTGCCTATATCATGCGCCGGTGTGCGGCTGCTGGTTGGGCTCGAAAGAGAGAGCCCGTAAGGCACAACGGAACAAGTGAGTTCCGTAAGAACGATTGTTGAGCGCCCCTACCATTGTCTTGTTTAATTTCCGAGGAAATTAATGCGCGAACATGGAGTAAATCTTTCGAAACGGGCCTTTTCAGACACGCTCCAAATTTCGATATGAATATTTGGGCTGAAATCCACTAGCTACTGCGGAATAACCGTTTAATATTCACAAACCGCCAACAGGCAGCGAGCAGTATAGATCTGTGCAATGATTTACCGTACTTAACAACACAGGTATTAGCTAAAAGCCACTGTCTGACGCAGCTGCGAGGGGTTCGGCTCGTCAGTGGGTCCCCCAGCTTTCCCCGTGTGTTTTCTGGTATATGAACTCTAGTTTCAACTTGCCTTGTTTAATTTCAGAGGAAATTAAACAAGACAAGTCGCGAGTTCGAGCCTCGGGTGTTCCACACTTCGGGATTGGGTATGATTAACTGACGACGCTCTTAAGCCGGAAATGGCATTTCAGTCTCCCTTGTCTTTGTCGGTAATAACATACTGCCAATCACACTGTCACTGCCCCGCCGCCACCATCCCCGACACCATCTGTCCCGCCCCAACCCCTGCATCGGCCGCAGCGGCCAACATTGCCACCACGTCTTCGTGCCCTCCCCCAACTGATGGGAAGGCGCCCCATGTCTCATCAGCTTCAAGCATCGCCAACACCCCAGCCTCCTGCGATATGAACGCGCTTCATACCTGTCCTCATTACGATTGATCATTCACCTCACTTATCGGCCTGGTTGGTAACTTGCGAATCCATCACACAGAGCCTTGCAAAACAGTGCATGGAGCAACAACATACAATTGCCGCACTCGCCTTAACTGCCCTCATTGCCCCCACACATTCACTCATCGCATGGACTTATTAGGACACATGTACATCCACGAAAGCCTGCGGTAGACAACCGCCGACTACACCACACCATTACACTTAATCCCAACAGTACCCCTACCTCCCAACACCATCACCCATCACGAGCACCCAGTTACTTCTCAGCTCCTCTATGCGACTCCTTTGCTGCGTGTGTGATCGGAGTCTGAGACTATCACGGTGCGCCAAGCGCGGTGGCATGGAAGGCTGTCAATTGACGCCCCAACTCTGTCGACGCAGTCTGCCCAGTAAGGTATGTTTGTGTAAAGTGGCGGACTGATGGGCTAAGAGTCAGGCTGTCCCGACCCCTTCTTAAGTGATCTGCGGCATTCTCAGGCATGTGAAGAGTATGTGTGTGATTTGTGGGTATTGCCTACCAGTCAACGACTGTTTAATTATCCAGCCTTGAAGGGTGGCGGCCCAGGAACATGCAGGGCCACGTGCCACCTGTCTGGGCCAAAAGGCCTTTAAGCGTCTGCTATGCCAGGATCAGCAAACCATGGCCCTCGCAGCCTGGTATGCGCTGGCAGTTCTCCAGCGCTTGCGCTCCCGCTGGTTATACAGGTCGTGAGCATGACTGCCCAGTTATCCGCATCCCTCTGACCCGTTGTGATGCTGTTGTTGGTTAAAACCCCGTCAGTTGGTGTGTGGACCAGGGGCTGTGGAGTTGAGCGCCAAGGTGCCGGCTCGACTGCGCCACCCATCCGTGACCTCCCCCGCCCCCGGTCAGCTTGACTCTGTCATGACACCGGGCCCAGGCGGGAGAGGAGAGGGGGCACAGTAGGTGCAACCCAAGTCTACTATCACAAGTTCACGTCCATGTGAACGTTCTTGCGCCTACCCTGCCAGGTGCACACGGCGGAAATCGTCGGATTCGACAGTCAGACTGTCAGGTCTTTTTAAAACTGAAATTTGTTGTGAGCCGATTCGAGAACTCGAGCAAAGATTAGGGAATAATTCGATATGTGCAATATTTTTAAGACTTTCTCTGAATGTGGACGCCTTCCAATATGAATAGGTTTTTGCTAATGAAGAAATTTACGTACTTTTTAATAAATCTTAATATACTACAAGTGCCCGGGTCACCCTTCGTAACGGGAAAGGATTCTTTCCAACAATCTTCGGAGAATTGTATACTACATAGTTTGTAAGACTGAAAAGTGTGGAAAACTTAAACTCATTTTAACTACAAATCCTGTATTTCGTGTTTTGTTAAATGTCAAAAGTAAATGGCGCCTTACAAGTGGACTTTTAGAAATGGGGTGTCTGCGACAGTTCTGATTATCGGTCCGAAGTTAAACGCAAAATTTCGAGTGAATAAGCATCTTTTCTCAGCAATCGCATCTTCGTCTGAATGACCTGTCTGTTAATCCAACTTTAGACAATAATTTAAGTGCGCTTATTCTTGCGGAGATTTTAAAGTATAATTTGGTAATCAAGTTGGCTATTTCTGAGTAAAACTTGCTCTGGCAGAATTAAAGATCGTACACATGGAGGCAGTACACAATGGCGTATGGACTCATTTCGAGTTCTTCGGCCAATTTTTCAGTAGCAAACCCTGTTTAAGTAATTCTTCGTATTTGACTTAATTATTAGTTACCGTATTAAATAGGTTATGCTTCTCGTCGTCCACGGTATAGCTTAACAACTGGTCAACGCTGGCCTACATACCCTTTAATAGCTCATCTGCCAAATGAATATCCCAGCACTCAGCTAGTCTGGTCTCTTACATTCAGTCGAATTCTTTTGAAGCCAGGACAAATGGTTGGTAGAAATGCTGACAGTCATTTATGCTTCTTATCGTTATATCCTATTTTTTACCAATTTTCCGAATTTATGCCATTCGAATTTAGGTCTCAGAAAAGATTGCTGCGGAAACACGATAAGGTGAGATGTCCATACTTGCTTAAAATCTGGAAGCCGACTTTCGTTTTCCGACGCTAAACGAGCACATTCATGCTCTCTAGGGAATTTTAATAAGAAGAAA